ATAAGATTTTTACTTTCCTTTCATAAAAATTCCGAACAATAAATAAGAACAATTTCAAGAATCAAAAACTATACAAAACAGGAGTAAACTACAGACATCAATAATTTTTGATTTTTTGGCTATTTATGTCATGTCAACATGTTCAATTTTTTCTACAATTAATGTATTAATGTATTATGCGTACAAAAATTTTTACAATTTAATAATGACCATCTAAGGAATTTTTTAATTACAAATCCTTTGATTCTAGTTAAACGCTATGGTATGTCATCTTCTGGTGCATTCGCAATATAGACTAGACGAAAGCAGATATTGGGATTTTTATTCCTTCGATTATCGACGTTCAGATTTAAGAGAGAACCACGGAAAAAGTTTTACGACTTAAAAAAAAGCGAAGAAAGTTTCTGGCTGTTTGTGTCCGGACGTGGAATCATCCAATTAGAAGTTAACAAACAACGTCAATGTGGCGTTATCATCGTTCGTTACGTACCATTCCAATTCGATATAATGTGTAAAAGACACGTTATTGGGCTCCTGCACTTTTTCACATTTTATTCTATTGTATCACAATCACATATCACGTTATTAGTACTAAAGAATCTTCACTTTTGATCATCATGATGATGTGATGTGTAGTCTGCAGCGGAATTACAAATGGTAAAAATGTTTCTTATCTGTAAATTTTTGTCGTTAAGAACGAATGAAAAAAAAAACACATTTCTAGTAAAGACGTTCCGGAAGGAAAAAGTTCTGTGCTGACGATAACGAGAACGTTATGTTTTCTTTGCCGTCGACACCGCGAGAATAACACATTCACATAAACACGTGTTTATGAAGACGCCCAGAGATTCCTTTTTTCTCTTCATTATTCTTATCAGAACGTTTTCATAGGGGAAGTAAATCTTTTGTTGTATTTGTATTTCCTATTAACATGCTTATAAATTATATTGTTCTTATTAACTATATTTTTTGAATTTTTATGATTAAAATATTTTATTTAACATACTTATGAATAAGTTATTTTTCATAATTGCCTTTTTCGATTGCGCCTCTACAATTTTGACGTTTTAAAATAAATATGTGTTTTTATTAAATTAATATACATATGATCGTTAAGTAAAGGACAAGCCAATTGTTACAAACGATGAGAACGATACTTACAGAACACTCTATGTAATACTATTCATATTTTAAACTTCTCGAAAATGTGTTTCTTCTCTTTATTGTCGTAAAACGTTTTGAAGATTCACAAAGTTCAATTGTAACATAAGAGTAATAGAGATCTTGTTATACTCGTGGAAAGTATTTTCTATATACATTTGAAACTAATCCATAAATATAATAGTGCGAACGATTACTGTACCAGTTGGTGTGTTAATAATATCTACTTATTATATTTCTATATCCTCATGTATCAAACAATCTATTTTTATTTAAACTCAAAATAGTTTTATTCAATCTTCAGTTGGTAGCATATGATAGAATATTCCCTTTGGTTCTATACGACATATTATATCGACAAATGTTATTTAACACAAAGATATGGTGAATTATTCCTATCGATTTTAGCATGTCGAATAAGAAAAAATTTAATAAAAAATACTAAATACTGTAAGAAAGCCAAAAAACATGGGAAATTTAAAAGACTCGAATTTATAACAACAAATTATAAACAAGAACAATGGTAAGAGGGTTGAAATGCATTTTGACATTGGTATCATCTGACGTGTCATAATGTGCAACTCTATTAGTCCGTTAGTCGAGTCTCCTATTCGGAGGTGCTTTTGTGCATTCGAAAATAATAATGTGATTCCGGTCACGCGTAACAAAAAATAGTATTGCCGTGAGTTTTTCTGATATTCGTCTCGGTACGATTTATGAGTAAGGAAATGACGAACGAATTGCAAAAAATGGAAGCTAGTTCAGACAGACACGGCGGTGAATAGTGTACCATTGGCGAGGACGTGCGAAGCTCAATTTGGCTGTTCAAAGATAATCAGAAATAGAATGTTGGTTCATGAAAGATTGAAATGTGTTTCCTTCACAATAATACGGAATGGCCTTAACTAACGTTATTGCCCATATTCAGACGATAGTAATAAACGCGGCTATTGAATGCTATTTATGTCTTAAACTATAAACCAGTGCAAACATATCATGAAACCAAAAGTGCAGTAAAATATATATATATGAGTCGTTTAATCATTGAGCAAATTATTGATATATATTCGGAAACTAATAAATTGTAATTTTATAGGTCGGGGTTTGAAGTTATTCTCTTGAATGATAATTATATAAAGAAAATCATTTTTGGCATTCTTTTTAATTTTATATAATTCTCGATTTATTGATTATTAATTATTTTTTTAGTTCATACTCTTTCACCCTCTAAGGGTGTCGACTTTTTTTTTTTTTAATAGCAGCATGAATATTTAACCAGTTCATAAAATAGGAAAATAGAAACTTAATGAAAATGTTTCAATTTTTTATTTAAATGGTTTACACTCATTTATAATGTATATTATAATCTTTAGAGGATCAAAAGTTAAAGTTTGAGACATTTTAGTGTAATGTTTTCTAATAAAATTTGACGAGTAAGATGTTTAACATAATTTTATGCTTTTAAAGTTGTCATGTCTTCTCTTTTCAGTTTTTTCCTATGTTCGCGTACATTATAAAGCATATAAATTTATAAAAGTACATGTTATTCTTTTTAATGCCTTATTTTACTGAAAATACATTTATAAGGAGTACAAAGACTATCTTACAAACAGCTTTTGGAGTTTACAAATATTACTAAATATTAGGTACCATAAATTATTCGGAAGCACTTTTTCGTACAGTAACTAGAGATTTTATAGTAGGAGGGAGAATATACAAGGTCTAGATTTGTTGCTAAACTACTAAAAGTAGAAATAATTCAGTTTAAAGTTATGAACACGTGATGTTTTCATCCATTTAAGATGTATTATCAAAAAAATTCTTATTTGTATTTAAAAATNATTTGTTGTTAAACTACTAAAAGTAGAAATAATTCAGTTTAAAGTTATGAACACGTGATGTTTTCATCTATTTAAGTTGTATTATCAAAAAAATTCTTATTTGTATTTAAAAATACTGGCTTTTAAAAAAGAAGTAAATTTTTTTTTAATTTATTTTATTTTATCGGTATTAATACGTAATTTTTGTTTTTTTTTTGTATAAAAATGATAAATCTGAAAGAGTGTGTAAAGAATTATGGATACTTAAATTCTAAAAATATTCATTTTTAATAAACGTTGAAAAATTTGTCCAAGTCCATGGTTATATAAAAAGAAAAAAATAGTACACTCGAATATTAAACGTGTACTTCTAACAGAATCTCTAAGTAGCTTTTGCGTATAAGAACTGTGTTGAATATTGTCTTTTTATGACATGAAATGAATGAAATTTAATAACACTAACCTATGCAAGACGTTTTACTTTATTATATACAATAATATATTATTGACTATTATTTATGATGTAATAAAAATGATAAAAAACAAAATCGATATAATAAGGATAACTGCCATTAAAAACATCTGAAAGGATGTGCATACATAATTACTTGGGTTTCCTATAAATGAATATTTTTTGCTTATTGTAAATTTTGTTTAATATTACTTCAATAAACACAGAGACATATTAAATTGTAAATAAAGCTTTTCCGAGAAAAAAATGTTTGAACGTATTGTGTTGTTACTTGGCGCATTGATAGTTTAGCCAAGATGACATCAAGATGCCATTTATATTGAGAAATTAGTTGCTTTTACCCCAACCATTAGAACTATCTTTCTTAAGTCCCCTTCATTTTCCGGTCGAAAATCATCGTACCGTAACCAAACGGCAGTGCGCTCAATACTACCCAGGTCTTGAGAAATCCATTAATTTAGGCTCAGTAAGAGGGAGTTGTCTTGAACGAAAGGATAAAACGTCTCGTCGGAAGAAAAAGCCAAAATGTCTAGGGCTATCTATTAACGAACGGAGACTAGAGGGTTAAAGAGACTTTCAGTATTTAAATTATATTATAATTTGTATTAAAAGGTTTGTGAAACACATACTTTCGGATGAAAGATTCACTTCTGGTGACAGCTGTTTGACGAAAACCTCAGTTAAGATTCACGGACAAAAGTTTTTGAAACTAATTAAAGTTTTTATAAACCATTTAAGGTTACGTGTGTATCATAATACTGTAAATACCTAGAAAGAAAAAAACAACAAAGAAACTAACTCGTTAATACAAAAAGAGTCTTATTACTTCAGAAAAAGTATTACCATAACAAAGCAGAAGATTTTCTGAAATTCAATTGCGATCATTGGCAATCTGTTACTGTCATTTTTTAAATATTCCTTTTCTGTAGTTATACTTTTATTAATTTATACATGATAAAAAAAAATCCATTTTGCCGAATGCGACAACGGTTTAAAATCGAATGAGGGTTGATTTAAAAAAAAGAGAAGGTCCCTCACAGTCGACGGTTATGTAAAAGTATATTGTCAGACGAAAACAGACTTTTTTGCATAATTTATTGAAGAAGACATTCTGAGTAGTCCGCAAACCATATTTGCTTTTTTATTAGGTAAACTAAGAGGCAATCGAAAATAAACAAAAAAAATACTTTGTCGTTCAATACAGCGTTTATTGGAATTTATATTGAAAAATATCGAAGAAAATGACAAAAGCAATGCGGTGATGATAATAATATGTGCACAGTCAATTTAATAACAAGCATGAATATAAAGCTACAACAGTATCAATGACATAATATCTACGGTTCAAAAAGACGAGATAAATGTTATTTGATTTCTTTATTTTCCCCTGAATGTTATTACATGATTTTTGTAGCTGTTTCGTCAAAAGGCATCAATAAAACGTTGACAAAAATACGTGAATTACTGAAATAGTTTTACGTTTACATATTTTTGTTACGAAAATAATATATCCTTTGTTAGTAATACTGAATATATATTTTTTTCAGAATGTTTTGGTTATCAGCCGAAATTCACCGAGCCGATCGGTAACATCACAGTACCAGTAGGACGAGAAGCTATGTTTACATGTTATGTTCACAATTTAGGAGGCTATAGAGTAAGTAACAATTTCAATTACATTTTTATAAATACCACGTAAAAATATTATAACTGCCATCGATGCTTTTCTCTCGCACTTAATGATTTACACTATGTATATGGTTTCGGAATTTAAGTATGATTTCGTTTAAATTAAAAGTTCGCATTACTCGTGCGTGTAGTACTGAAATGATTTTAGGCACTTGTATAATTCAACAGTTCATTAAATATTGTACACAAATCAAGTGTAATCGACAGTGCGTATATAATTCTTAGAGATTTCACAAATTCCATTAATTGACATGTTTAGATTAAAAGTGATAGTTTTTAGATAATGTTGAGCTTAACTAGTTGACATAAGATAAAAATAATTTTCTGCAGAGGTTGAACTTTCAAACATTTTCCATAATTCAGTCCTAAAATGATTTAGTTATTTACCGTGGCGTTGAAAATAATAATGCTAACAAATACTTTATTTAGTTGATGTACTGTAGTTTTTCTTTTTCGTCATTGTGCATAATTGCGTTTAGAATTATAATTATCTCGTCGTGTGGTGGGTGAAATTATTTTTTATACNGTCGTGTGGTGGGTGAAATTATTTTTCATAAAAAAAAGTTTATAATTGATACCTGCGAAGCGTGAAAACAACTTAGATAAACCTATTAAAATATAAACAACGCAAAATAAAATGAACAGATGTTCTTTAATTCGGCGTATTATTTTCAATCTTATTTTACTCGGCGAAAAAAAAAAAAAGGTTTTTGTTTCAAGGAAATTGTTTTCAAAATGATTTTGTTTATATCAATAAGTGTACTGGCGAGTATGCGGACTTGCAAATAAGGGATGCCCTACTACGGTGGGGAGTCAAAGTAACACATGTATAATAACAGTGCAGCGTTGCAGTATAGTCAGTTGGATATATTATTTCCGACCAGGTACATAGTTATTATTATTTTGAACTTGTTTTGTATGGTAAACGATCAGGACGACCGAGGGAGTCGACGAAATTCCTTGAATACCAAAACAGTCACACGTGTGTTTAGNAACTTGTTTTGTATGGTAAACGATCAGGACGACCGAGGGAGTCGACGAAATTCCTTGAATACCAAAACAGTCACACGTGTGTTACAGGCGTACAGAGCGACACATATCATATAAACGGTAAACAAATTATACGAATCCATCTAACGAGGTATTTATGCAACATGACGACTGTAAAAGCATTTTTCGAACGTTTGATTTTTTAAAAAACTTAATAAGTACGTTGAAAATTTGTTTCTATAAAATTATAATAATCATCAAGTAGATAATTTCTAAAAAGAGAGAGAAATCGTACAGTATTATCTTTAAAGGAAAATCTCTGCTCTAGTTTAGTGTTCGTAAAGTTCTTCAAAAGAAGAAGTTCGACAAAGTAAAACAATAATATTTCGTTAAGTACGTTGTAAATATCAAGTATTATGTAAAAGTTATTGTTTAAACTGTTTTAGTGAAACAATGATTAAATTTGTTAACAACTTCCTAAAATATATATAAATTACTTTTATATTATATTTTTTAAGTATTAAGAATATATCGTTTTATATTAAATATTTCATATTCCATTTTATAACTCAATTCATTACATGAAACTGATATAGATTTAAGTGTTATTATGAAAAAAAATATACAATTTAGATAGATATTTGCTATATACTGGATTGAAAACAATTACTTAAAACGAAACAAGTGGAATTGTAAAAAAATATTTTATTACTAATGAACTAGTTAAAGTAGTAAAACTAGACGTATACTGGACACCAAAGAAAAAATATATTATGCTTATTAATATTTTCAAAATTCTCGTGTACTGTCTTATACTTTAATATTATCTCTATTTTTCCAACGATTATAATAATAAAAAAAATAGAAATTGTCAAATGCGTTCAATTATAAATATTGGAGTAAATAAATTAGACCATAGTAAACAAATATTATATTCTATGTTTTACCATTAAAAGCTTATGGTAATGATTTAATATTTGATATTATTGTTTTTCTAGAATTAGTTTAGTTAGGGGAAGTGAATTTTTATTACTATTAGTTAATTTCTTTAGTATTTGCTAAACATTAAAGGTTTATGCCTAAGGTACTAAATATTAGAAAAGCATTTTGTTAAAATGTGTCAGGGGCGCGCACGTCAAAATTCAAATGACCGTACAAATGATAGATTGCGTGTCCGTTATAATTACGACAACTTCAGTGACGTTTATATGATTACATAGCATAAATCTCCATTTATTATTAAGCTATTAACTCGGAAGTAGGCGAAATAATTAAGTACGTTATTTATTAATTCTAAAATTTCCATAATGCTCTACTTAATAACTTATTTGTTTTCTTCTCCGTGGCTTAATTGTTGCATGAAATGTTTTTCCATTATGTAAATATACGTATTCTGCAAAATACAGACAAGTTTTGATGCTTTCCATTGAATCAGTCGTTATTTTAAGTAATTGGACTGTTCAGATCCATATAACGAAGAATTATTAAAAAAAAAAATTATAGCACTTGGAGTAAATACCTACTATGAACATTTTCCGGAAAGATTAGTTTAATAACTAGTAGGTCATGAAGTATGTTAAATTGTTGCAGGTTGGATGGGTAAAAGCAGACACTAAAGCTATTCAAGCTATACATGATCATGTGATTACACACAACGCTCGAGTTTCCGTGTCGCATACTGATGATGCAACATGGAATTTGCTCATAAAAAACGTACAAGAAGAAGATCGAGGTCAATACATGTGCCAAATCAATACTGATCCCATGATAAGTCAAGTAATGTTTATTTCCGATAATTACTTCGCAAAACTCATAATGCTGGTATAAAAAATATAAAATTTAATTCCTTATTGTTCTTTGGTTGGGTTGATACATAGTGATTTATATCTCGCTGTGCCCATTTTGTGACTAAGCAGTAGAAGCTGTGCTATGAAAGTTCAAAAATATAAAAAATCCATGGCGGCGATTTCTTTTAAATTTCTAAGTGCTGCTAAATTAATTTGTGCTTAATTTTTAATCGTTATATTTTTTTTTTTAAAGCTTAGGAAGAACAAAGAATCAGTACTATTTTAATGAACTTAGCTATATTTTCTTTTTATTTCCTTTAATTAAAAATAAATTATTACTTTTTAATTTTGTTTTTCTTTATTAACAGATACATAATCTGTTCCAAATAGATACAATAAGAGTATTAGCTAAAATATAAATAAGACATGAATACTTGACAAGAGACGCCACCATTGATGACACTTTTTAATTTAAAAAAGTTTAAATGCATTTATTTAAAACTAAAACCCAAGCTAACTTTTATTTTAAAAGAATTAATACAACTATCTTGAAATTACTGTTAACATATTCCTAATCTATTATAATTATAGTATAATTAAAATTATATACTTCTTCATTAAAGTTGACATTATCTTAGAAAAGATTATTTTTAGTGGGCTTTAATGATTTACCCAAGTAATTTCAATAATTTGTACCCAAACTGGCATACATTTTTCAATTTACATTATTAGTTAAAGACACATAATCGACCAGATTACTTAACACTTTTGTAATAAATGTGTCATAATTTTAAACTTGATTGTATGCAACATAACAGCATAGTATTAAATCAAAACGTGTTTGAGTTAGAAAAAATTAGTTTATTTTTACTTAAGCAACACAGTTCTAATTGTTTGAACGAACCTCATTAAAACCCCTAAACTGTTTTACACAATATTTATTCCACTTGGCTAATTAATTTTTTTAGCCACAATACAAATATGATAAATCAAATCAAAAGTTATTATCAAATAATACTTATTATTTATTAAAATAATTTGAAATTTATCACACTGAAAGTATTGCCAAAACATAACTAATTTTTTCATTATAAATTCCCTTTTAAATAACTTTAATATAATTATCACATTGGCGGCTATAATACACTTTGGTTTCTGTCTTGCAAATATGAGTATAAGTTGATACATGGTAAATAAAGGAGCGATAGCTTTCTAGTCTACCCTATTTCACCTATGGTGATTTAAATTTAAAGTTATATTAAAAATGTTATTTTAAAACTAATAAAATATTTAACTCAAAATAACTTACCTATGAGAAAAAGAAAGTTAACATTTTAATATTCACACTCTTCAGTGTTATAACTGTTATAGTTTATTGCTTATTTAGGGTTGTTCTATAAATAAGAGATCAGGTTAATTTGTATGAATAACAGAAACAATGGAAAGTCTTTTTACTGCTTATTGAACTACATACATATATGATGTGGTAATCAATTTGTCTTTGATTTTAGATGGGTTATTTAGATGTTGTAATACCCCCTGACATCATTTATGAAGATACATCTGGTGATGTAATGGTGCCTGAAGGTGGTACAGTCAAATTGACGTGTAGAGCTAAAGGATATCCTAAGCCACATGTTCTATGGAGACGAGAAGACGGAAAAGACATAATAATTAAAGATTCAAATAGCATAAAGACAAGAGGTTGGTTGCTAGAAAAATTAAATAATACATTTTTTAGTATATAATACATACTGTTATACAATGACATTATTTTTAAATGTGTTAATTCAAAATATAACATTACATCTCACTTTAAGGCGTTTGAGTACAGACATTTTTTTAGAGGTCAATTATAGGCAATTTTACGGTTTGTATTTGGTGTGCATTGTCGTTGTGTGAGAAGTAAATGATTATTAGAGTATGTGTCTATTATAGGAAGTATTTCCACTGTGTTACAGTCGATAATAAAATAAATTTTGTATACCTGCCTTACTTTTTAATGTGATGTGAATATATTGATTTAATAATGACAATTTTATTACTCATACACACGGCTCATTTTTTCACATATTAATTATTTTTAACCCTGTCCTTTTATAATAACACAGAACAATAGCCAATTTTTGTCTACAATATTTAAGTGAATTTTCTATAAAGTCCGACTTCAGATTTTTTCCGTCATATCTAGTTTTTGAAATAATTACTAATTTTTAATAAAGAAATAAACTATTAGATCAATAAAAAAACTGAAAAATAATTTTTTTTTATGTTCGGAATTGATCCACAGTACCTACGTACAAAGGATTGTGTTACCGACTGAGATAGGTAAGCTTTGATGATGTTAAAAATAATCGTACAAAATTTAGAGCTTATCCTTTAAGTTTAACTGCTTCTGTAGGCCTTTAAATTTGAGTTAGATAGGAGTTTTTCAGAAAACAACAACCGAATTTTCCACTATAACTATTTTTAGATTAAAACAGAAATACATAAAGATCAAATATTCGGAAAATTTGCAATTTTATTTTGTGTCGATATTTGGCAAATTACGATTAATTACTAGACTAAAAATTTAAAAAACCAACTGAATATTAAAATAATTATTTTAAGATTATAACTATAATGTTTAATCATTAAAAAAGCTAATAATCAAATTCATGTAAATATATATATATATACAGTATCAAGTATGTATTTATCTGTAACTATTTTTAGGAAGTCAGTTCTGCTCTGCGTAACTCGATGGGCAATAAATTATCAAATTTAAATAACACACAAATGAGAATTAACGTGCCAAATATGGTGCTGCTGTTTGAAAACTATTAGTTTGGACATATAAAACTACCAGTTTTTATTTCATCAGTACGATAACTATACTGATTAAATAAGAATTTTAATAACAACTTTGAATTCAGCATCATGCACTTAAGTATTGGTGTTAGTCCATTTGTTTGAAATTGTGTTAACTTAAACACGAAATTTTAATCTGATAAAAATGAAAATTTTCAAAAATGTAACTAGTACATATGGGTTAAAGGAATGTTTTCAGAGTTCTTATCGCATCAATTGTTCTGTCGTACTGATAGAACAAGAATTAGTAGTTTTTCACAAAAAAACAGTCAAAAACGATAAACCTCTTTAGTTAATGTATTTTTTTTAATTTTAGAGATACTTACTTGCTTACTTTGCTTATTATTTGGGCTTATTAAATTAAAAATCAATACAAATAATAATAAAAGCTTACAGTTTATTTTTTAAATTATATGAATTTATAAAGTTCGTTATTGAAAACGTTCTTGTCAAAAGTATTTTGTCAGATTCTGATAGACTCTAAGCATAGTAGTTGCATTGCCATGTTTTGTGAATCCCACTACTGAAAAACTAAGTTCAACAATTCGAAGCTCTTTGGTTTGAAAAAATAATCATCAATTTTTTTTAAGCCTAGTTTTAAACTTTGAGTTTGCAAAAGTTTCACACTTACCCCTCTTCGATCCATTCAATTTCTGTTTTACTCTAAGTTGAAATGAAATGCATTTAAACAAAAAAAAAAAAATCCAAGGAGACTGAAAACTATTTATTATATATTTTTTTATTATGAGTGTAGTGGCACTGGTTTTAATATTCATTTTTAGTTGATATATAAAGTAATTAACAAACTTCTTGGCAAACTAGTCAAAATTATATTAATGTTATCTAATCAATAACTCATTAATTATTGAAATTTTATAAAATGTCTGGAAATAATTAAATTAAAAATAAAGTTTTTTTTTTAAATAGCTTATTTTTCTTAAATAGGTTAATTTGGTAATTTTGGATTTTCAGATGGTTAAATTAAAACTATACGTAAAAACTCAAATTATTGATAATTATTAATTTAAAAAATTTACTTATATAGTGTTTATTCAAACTTCAAAACCACACAATAATCAATTATAAGTAATTGGAACCGCAAACAATTTATTTGGGGTTTACAGTTATTATTGTTTTGCTACTAATGAACATTCTTTCACACTATTAATGGTTGAAGTTAGTGTTAATGTTAATGATTAAAAGTTAGTATCATTTGTCTTACTGTTATACAATAGAAAATGAGGAAATTAAAATATGTTAAGTCGTTATAAACTTATACGTTATTTCATTACATTTTATTATACATCCGAACTTAATTGTTATACTTGTGTTATAATTCTTAAAAGTTATTTAGAGTAATAAAAGTAAAAACAAATAATGAACTTATTACTTCACTTTGATTCATGTAATTATTGAGTGAATAGAATTCAACAATAAGAGAAGAGAGTAGCATGAAAATATCTAATAATTCAATAAGATTTATATAAAACAGATATTTTAGTTATACTAATATAACTGTCGAACAAGAAGGATATCTGATTGGTTATTCTGAAAAAATAAAAATTCTTTCTATTAGTAGAGGCATTTGAAACTTTATTTTATAAGTTTGATGGAACTTATTTTAGATTTGACTTCGTTTAGCTGAATTATTATAAAGGAAATTCGATGCACAGTTTATAAAAATATTTTTATTAAAATTTGCAAAATACAAGCAAAAGCTATTTTGTCGTATTTATGGAAAAACATTTATATTTACTATGATAACTGATAATTCATTGTTTATAGTAAAAATATTTACTTTTTGAGTGAAAATATTCATTAAAAAGATACTTGTCAAATTTACATTGCTTTCTGAATCGTTTCATTATAGTATAAAACTTAAACAATAGTGGTGTTATTCAGGACTTGAAATCAATATTCAATTTCGTTTATCGATATTCCAAAGAATTCCATTATGGGACCAACTATTTTTTGTATATATCAAAAAATATTTGATCAATTAATCAGACCACAGGAGAAAACTAATATTTCAATTTCTTATTAGTGCAGTCCATTTTCGATTATATTTGGACAGACTGTTACATTTTTACCTTTACTAAATAAAAAATTTAAGTAATTTCCTACAAAAAAATTTTCTCAACGACTTAAAAACTAAATAGCTCAGAGTTGACGCAATCAGGTCAAACGAATATTCATATCTTTCTTAGATGATATAGAAATGAAAATAGATGACTAAAATTTTTCATTTTTTTTTTTTATCCGACATAATGTACTAAAACGCGCATAAATGTTTTATTGTTAATAATTATAAGCAAGAGCCTTTAAATGACTGCAACGTGCTTTCCTGTTAGCGTCCTAATAATTAGCAATGTCGATCCTAAATGGGGCTATACTGGCTCTGTATAATTTATACTTCCCTAGAAGGACAGTTAGCGGTTTCGTGACCAATTAAATGAAAACTTTCAATTAACAACGACAACAAGTGTTTTGTCCTACATAAATATTATGTATAACATGGTAACGGTAGCAAGCGTTTATATAACTCCGTTAATAATACTAATAATTATAATGATCACAATAATAGCGATAAGTTATTAAGTTAATGTATAAGAATCAGTTACAACGAGAGTGGTAAAATAACGACTGACTTCGGCGTGTTTTTAATTAATTCAAATAATGAAAAATAATTCTACTATAAATTATAATAGATATTTTTTATCATATTTATCTTACTTAAAAATGTAAAAAAAAAGGGTTCATTAATTACTGATAATCCTGAATATAAAATATTGTTATAATCTAATGATTAATAATAAATAAAATGACAGTAAATTTTATACTGATGACATTACAGTAGGATACTAATTTCATGGTATCTGGAAACCTATTCACTTTACATTTTATTTCGATATAATTTATCTTTTGAAAATTGATATACAATTTATTTCAATATTATTTAAATTTTGAAATTGATATTCAATTTATTTCGATTTTAATAACAATTTTACAAATTGATTTTCTTATTTTTCGAATTTTATTTCAAATTTAATTTTAAGTTCGATTTTTATAAAGCTCTGGTTTTTGTTTCTGAATTAATATTTGCTTTTAAAATAGTTTTAATAGAAATAAAATTAAAAAATATTTAATTTTAGATAAAATATGTATTATTACAAATTAATTAATTTTATGTAAGATAATATGAATTTTTACAGTGGTTTATTAATCAATAACTTAGTATCTTAAAAGTATGAATGTGTTTTCTGAGCAGTATAAGAAGCTTAATTATAACTCAAATAAAACAATTATTCTGTGCGTTCTAAGCAACGATGTGCATCGAGTTGGGGTAATTTTAACGAGTTTAAACAATTCATCAACAAACTTCCTTTTAAGAAAAATTTCGTACTATTATTTATGTACCTAGTATAGATCATAAATTATTAATTAATTCTATAACTTTAAAAATAAATTGACTTTTCAAAGTTATTTATATTTGAATTTTAACGAAACTAAGATATTTTATATCATACAGCTATGTATTTTGCGCTGTTCAATAGATTTAAATAAATATGTTATTAAGTGATTCATTGAGCTTGCGCCATTTACATAAATCTTTGTTTAAAAATCATGTAAGATAAGTTTCTTTAAATTGTGCTGTAAAAATTACTAATCATTTACTTGTTTGATAGTATTCGTATTGGTTTCAAAGAAAAAAAATGAACATTGCTCTCCTTTTTCCAATGTTGAGTTTTATTTGTACTGTAAAATAAAAATAACTTAACAGTAAATCCTCTTTTTGTTCAAAGCATGTATACAGGTGTGCTGGGTCGGTAGTAGAGAGAAAAAAAGGAGAGAGAGATTTTGAAATCCGATTTGTTTCGGCTGACGCGAAATGACTCAACGCAATCACCTCCCGACTCTGTCAAATGATAAAGAGAGAAGAATTTAAAACACGATACATCAAAGAAAAAATACAGATATAGACAAACGGTATACATGAAGATCCGTGTTTTTAGTTTGTTCTCGTGTGGAGTGCGAAGTAGCTTTTGAATCGAAAATAAATTGGTAACGTTTGTGATTTCGCCGAAGCTTTGAGACATTGACTTTTGAATCTTTGATGTCATGATGTCGCAGTAGTGTCATTGTCATTTTTTCAAATATGTGCGGCAAATCATATCTGTGTTAGGTAAAAATGTAAGAAGTGTGAGTAAATTTTGATTTTAATGTTGCTGTGTATTATTATAGAAGATATGTCTCACATTTGCCTAATAAAATACTAAATTATTGTTTTGTGCTAGGATTGGCTATTTTAATATGAGTGTTTATAACTTAAATAATATTAATTCAAAAAATAAGGTTGTTGATGTATGTATTTACATTCATGCATATTAATGTAGTATAAAAATTCGAGTCATGATAAAAAGGTTTGTATTTAAAAAATAAATCATACAACCAAAGCAAATAATTTATTAATTAAACGTTGATTGAGGTTTATGATATATTATTGGAGAGTTTGTACCAAAAACACTTAATAATAACTCCTTTATATGATTATTAGATTTTAGTATTTGATTAAATAGTTCTTAATACATTTATATTCTTATTGCGTTTATGTACGATTTAAGATGATTTGTTTTATAATTAATTTCGATTAAAATCAATTTTATCATACAAATCTGTTTCAGTGATAACACATCAAGGAGAGTTATTGAAGTTGATTAAAGTTAGTAGGTCTGAAATGGGCGCTTATCTCTGTATAGGATCAAACGGCGTACCACCTTCAGTTAGTAAACGTATCACTGTTAGTGTTCATTGTAAGTATAAAATAACTATCAAAGAATTCATTAAGTATATATCTTGAGGAAGTCAATTAAATGATATTTAATTATTAATGACTATAAAAAATATATCTTTTTAGCATTTATAGAAAGCACCTTTTAAAATTGCATGTCTTTATATTTAGACTCATAAAAGTTCAGTTAATTAATTCTATTAAACTTATCTTATTTTGCAAAACTACTTCCTACACTACATTTAAAAATTAGTCTCTTTTCAAAACCTTTTATTCCAAGTTATTGATTTCAAATTTTAGTTGGTATTGAAATATTTTATTTTCATTAGTATTTACGGTTTGAACTAAATACGTGGAACTGCTCTAAGACTCGATTTGATTTATAATTTATAAAAATATTTTTCTTTAAAAATTGTTTGTATTATTTCCTTTAATATATTTATTCATCGGAATATGAACACTAAAGTCATTTTTAATTTGATGTTACGTGGTTTTAATCTAAATAAAACATATTTCATTACTTGTACCTATAGTTCAATATATTTATGAATATAATATCTCAAAAGCTTTAAAAGTCATATTATTGATTAATAAGATTAAAACAATTATATAACATCAATCATAATTATAATTATCATGTATAAAATGGAATTCACAAAAAATGTAGATGACTTGTGTAGGTTGCAATTTTTAATTTTAGTAGTATGTATCCGACTCATTATTGTTAGAATTTACTTTTTTTAAAACAAAACATTGTACACTATTATGTTCTCTCTGGAATATTTTACGAATTTTTTATTCCACAGCAGTGTATCATCAGGTGTTTGATTTTGTAAACATCTTATTAGAGGCAAAAGGCAAATTTATGCATGTTATCTATCTATTACACTACCGCTATAGCCACCACAGCATTATGAATGATCTTGGTCTTGAACCCTTCTTTTCCGTATATACGCATGCTCAAATATTTCATCTACGTTTATTTACCCCTCTCATGCATTACATCGCGGAACGGGCTAACACGTCGGTTGTGGTANAATATTTTACGAATTTTTTATTCCACAGCAGTGTATCATCAGGTGTTTGATTTTGTAAACATCTTATTAGAGGCAAAAGGCAAATTTATGCATGTTATCTATCTATTACACTACCGCTATAGCCACCACAGCATTATGAATGATCTTGGTCTTGAACCCTTCTTTTCCGTATATACGCATGCTCAAATATTTCATCTACGTTTATTTACCCCTCTCATGCATTACATCGCGGAACGGGCTAACACGTCGGTTGTGGTAAAGGGTTTTAGGTAGAAATTGATAAATTACGACACGCCAAGCCATAGACGCCACTTCGGTAAAGTCTTAAGTCTTCGTGTGTATCCTCACTCTGAAACTCGTCTTCATTCGCACAAACTTTACCCTTAAAATGTCTCCCTTTCCTCGTCTCTTATTATTTTGAATCACTCCCTTCGTTTTGTGCATTTTGTTAAGATTACATTAATAATAATTAAATGGCTATACAGCTTCTTCGAATTTCTATATTACATACCTAGAAGCCGACCCCAAGTAGTTGGGATTAAGGCGAGAAAAAAGAAGACATACCTATATTTTTAAGGAATTACCTGGACAAAAGTACTCTAGTTGATAGCTCAGTCATGTTCTCAACAAACAAGGAGCAATATTTTTACACAGGTCTTCAACTAGTTTTGTGTGTGATTCACTTTTAATTAATACTGATGAAAACATCAGAAATTAATGTAATTTAAGACATTATTTTTTGTTCGATTTTAACGTTGTTAAAAAAAAATGGCTCTTTAAAGTACGCACAAACTAGTATCAAATATTATAAAATCAATACACAGTTGTTAAAATTATTAAATATTTTTTAGTTCAAATTAAAAAAAATTATTTATTAATCCCCGTCGTATACCTTTATAGTAACGAAAAAGTAAAATTTTCATTCAAATGTTTCATTTCAAATTCATACAAATGTATTCTATACACATAATTATGCAAAGACTTCTATGTATAGTTTAGTAATATTCTTTAGTATACTCAATGGTAATAGTAAGTACATCGCATAACTTTTAAATATTCTTAAAAGCCTATCATTCACGATAATATTATACATGAATTAATGAATTAATTGATTAGTTAATCAATTTTATAAATATTGAATACATATTTCAACTATACTCCGTTGCTCTACGAAATTTACTGCTCAAAGAATATAACACGTGAATATATTGATGGTACCACTAAAGTTTAGGCAGTAATTCGTTAGATGTTTAAAACTTTATCATGTATTACTGCAAGATAAATTAAGTAAAAAACAGTCAAGCAAAATGTTACTAACAAACGTGCGCATTATTTGCTACTTAAACTAAACTCATGTCTGTAAAAAGGAATAAGATGTCGTATGTCTGATTTATTTATAGAGCGAGTTTTATTATTTCTATAAATCTTTCTTTCTTAAAACTTTTACGATAATATCAAATGATAATTGAATCAGAAGCCTACAATATTATGTCAAAAAATAATTCTTTAATGAAAATTATGGAAATATAATATGATAATTTGTCATATAAATTTTCATTATGTATTTACAAATACTTATATATATATATATATATATTACAAATTAATGTTTGTTGACTTCTCAAGAAGTATACAGAATTTCAATAAACAAAAGTATGCAAAATTCATTATAATAGATTTTTTTAAAAATTATTTTCTTATTTTTTACAGTTCATCCAGTGATTTCTGCTCCGAGTCAACTTGTTGGTGCACCAAAAGGTACTGAAGTTAAACTAGAATGTAATGTCGAAGCATTTCCAAAATCTATCAATTATTGGGTCAGAGAGAGCGGTAAGTTGATTTTAAGCTAATAACTTTTTATTTAAATTGTAACAATAACATTTATTGTATAAATATATTTTCAAAACATGTAGAATTGAAAGGTTCATTAATTAATATATAATGGAGAATACAAACACATGTATTTACAATCACATATTGATGATTCTTTGAGTGATAAGTTTGTACTTATCACATATAACATACTTATAACATATACTTTGATAGGTAAATATAATATGGAAAAATTATATAATGGAGAATACAAACACATGTATTTACAATCACATATTAATGATTCTTTGAGTGATAAGTTTGTGAATATTAATTAGTCGGTTTTTGGAATCCAAGATATTACATATACTTTGATAGGTAAATATAATATGGAAAAAGAAAAATTATCTGCAAAATGTATGGTCAATTAATTATAAAATCATTAAATAAATAAATTTTAATTTATGTAAGAAATTCAAATACAAAATAATTTAATCGTTATAAATAACCAGTTTTTTATTTCTATGATTTTAATCTTAAATAATTGTTATTTTTAAATGTTCAGCAAAAATTGGCTATTAAAATGAATTTTTTTAAATTAACAATTTAGAGATAATAAGATTAAAATAGCTTTTCTGAAATAAACATAATAATTTTTAATAAAAAAAGAAAAAAAACAATTTATGTTTCAAAATGTTTTGTTTGTTTGTTTTAAAAATATTTTTCGGTGAGGGTATCTAAAATGGTAAGATAAATCGTCCGATTTCTGTCTTTAAATAATAAGAAGTTATAATGGTTTTTTCTCTAATGATCCACCCGCATTATGATTTATTTATTTATTTTTTTGTGAAGAAACACTCCTCTTTTTATCATTTCCATCAGAATGCAAATGAGATTTAAAACAAAAAATAATGCTAAAATATTAAATAAATTTATAGAAATCACAGTTTAAAAAATATCTGACATACTTTTAATAAAAGAAATTCACTGAAATTTTACATTTTTCATTACAAAAATCATTTTTTGTAATTACGATCTATTACACTAATTTAATTTTATATACTAATATAACTTAAACTCTGCTTGTAAATTCTATTTCGAATACATATTAATCTTATTTATTATAGACTTGTTTTTTAATGGCATAAAATCAAAAAATCATTTTTTGTTTTCTATTAGCTCAAAAACAAATAGTCTTTTTACTACCCACGAGCAATTACGTAGATTCTATTTTAAAAGTTATAATTGTATGAAAAAATCGCGATAATTTGAAAACCTGAAATTCAATCAATCTATTAAATAACTTTAACTAAATTTAAAATTGCATCGAAAGTTTTTTTTATCAAATTTTATTTAATATAAACATATGACTTATAAAACATATTGTCTAAGATACTTGGTTGTCAAAATTAAATTACTTTGGATAAAAGACGTTTGAAGATTCTAAAAGAAATGTTTATTTATGTTATCGATGTAGACTGAAAAGATTCCCGGAGAAAAACTTTGAATACAAAAAAAGTTTATATTGATATTAAATACTTATTATTTGGTCAAAAAATTGTATGAGGAACTGTTGATGACAGCTTCTTGGCTAAAAACCAGTACTCCACTCTCCTTACCCTTCATTTATGGTTTTGCCAAAATAACCGCAGTTATGTTTTTAATCGACCTCGCATCACCCTCAGAATATTAAGCGACTAGTCGGTCTCGTTATTTAATTATTATTGAAGCCAAGAATATTTTTCATTATTAAACTTGTCTCTCTATATTCTCATGTATAAATAAATTAAATTAAAGACAGTATTGTTTTTGGTTTTTTGAGAAACCTTAGGCATTCTATTATAATATTAAAGACATTTTTAATTAGATATCAACAATGGTCGCCTACTAGCACCTTTTATAAATCATCTTTAAAATCAACACTTTCAGTCTTTACTCTTATTTCACTAAAAAAGAGTTCCTTTTAATTATTAACTGAGGTATAATTTCTTTAGACATAGGTATTTTTTTGGCTAATTTTAAATTATGATCTAACTTATTTCAGCGATGAAATATACAGAATGATTCAATACTTTCTTTTTTTGGCTTTGTTTTTCTAGTATTTTGTTTAAATTTATTAATTGTTAAATATTTTTCAGGTTTACCCATTGTTTTTTATAAGGGGAAAACTTTATTACTTTTAAATAATAACATATTTATTTTGCTAACGTAAGTTTTGAAAATGACTAGTTTATAACGACTCTTAATCAAATATTTTTGAAGTTATGAATATTTTTTATATCTATTATAGGAGGATGAGCAGTGTAATACATAGCGATAAAAATAATATAACCCAAAAGTCGCCTGCACTTTATATTTAAAAATGTTAATAACTTCTGAAATACTAGTCTAAAATTTGTTATCGACCGGCCATTTTTTTAATTTTATCATTTGCTAACATTTAAGCTAGACACATATGTATGTTACTACTTAAAAAAATTAAATTGATATTCTAATGGGTAAAGTTAATGGGTAATTTTTTATGAATTTTGTTAAATGTATAAATTTTTATTTTGAATTTACATTTAATATGATAGCAACATATATAAGGATCAGTACGTTTAATCTAAAATATAATTACTGTAAGAGTAAAAATGATTTTACCCCACTTCACTCTAAAAGATAAGGAATGAACCTAAAAATATTTAAAAAATTACTTATAAAAATATAAAAAAGACAAAATAAAAAAAAAAATTCACAAAATTATAACAATTTTAAGATATCTAATGTTCAATGATAAAGCAGTCACTTTGTAAAACATATCAAAAGGATTATAATGGTAATACTATAGTTATTTGTTTGTATCATACTTGTAAAATATTCAATTAACATTTTTCTGTTATTTGTTTTGTTGTACCATCAAAATAAAATAATTACATTTATTTACTCATTTTTTTTATGTTCTTGCAAATATCTATTATTTCGATCTAAATTCAAATATAAATTCTCTAATAGGAGCATTAAAGTAATAAGTACTCAAACATGGGGGTTAATCATTTCTTGTTCTGTGCTAATATGTACCTAATAATACAATATTGAAAATCTCTTTAAATTGGCATAAAGCCATACTATACATAAGCCTAGTGGATTTTCCTCGCACATGACATTATTAATACGTATTCATTGTATTGTTCACAATTCCAAAAAACGATATAGTTCTCTAAAGGTCTTGAAAATTTCAATATCCTATTTTCAATACATTGCATTCCTTTATAACAAATTTAAAAGTGTATCACTATAAAAAAATTGTCTTAAGCTTGTTAAGTTTTGTAATCAATTACACCCAAAGAAAAACCTCAATCAAAATTGAAAGAGAAATTTTATCAAGGGTTTATGATAATGTTTTATTAATACGAACAAAATAACTATTCTTATAAATAATTATTGTTCAAGACAAGAAAAAAAAATATCATATTGATAAATATATCATTGATTCAATAGTAATGATATATTTATCAAATTGAACAATGAATTTATTATATAGATCGAGGTTTTTCTCTGGGTGTAACTTTATGCTATTAAAAAACAATATCAGTATTATGCAGTTAAATGTATTCTTAAACTTAGAAAATGTTATAATAATTTCTTAAATAAATGGAACGTAATGAATAGTGTTTAGTCAATAAATAATTTCATCATAAGATAAATAATAATCACTTGGCTGTAAATCATATCAAGTTATAATTATTTTCCAAAACAAACTGTGCAGTGTAATAGTGTAATATACCTTTGTTTTATGGGTTCAACAGGTTTATTTATACATCTATGATTTGAATTTGTTTGCTGTCATTTCGTTCCACTGTATTATATGCCACATTTATTACAGTATAGAGGGAAAAATACACAGCGTAAACAACTTTAAGGACGTGATGATTTCCATTCTATTCGAAATCCCTTCTCTACTCTTGTAAAGAGGGTAGATCGTGTAATCCTAGTAAACAGAAAAAAAGTCTTTGACTTAGCAATGACAAGACTTACGACTTACGGGATAATATTCCCTTGGGGTGGTGTAGTTTGGCTTTTTACATCTAGATTTTATAATAATATGGCATAACATAGTGTTGTATATAAGAACAATGTAATAACTAATAGCTGTATATATCAAACGTTTTTATTTAATGGTTTGCAAATAGTGAAAAGTAATTATTCAAACAAATTATCAATGTTTATTATTTAGAAATAACAAAAAATTGTATAATTAAATTGTTTTTTTCAAATGATTTTTCAGTTGTTTATTATTAATATTCATAGATTTCATTATAACATTGTTATAGTCAATATATACAAAGTCGCTATAGATGATGATCGTATCAATATAATTTCAAAAAAAACCATTTTATTTTTTTAAGGTGATATGGTAATCACTAGTGATAAATACCAAACAACTAATACTATTAAGTCAACATTTGAAGATCAGATGGTGCTCACTATTAGATTTGTTGAAAAATCAGATTTAGGATCCTATAGATGTATAGCAAAGAATTCTCTCGGCGAAGTTGAAAGTAGCATCAGGTTGTACGGTAAGTGATGCATAGTTAAATATTTTGAATAGCTAATGGAGTATGGAATAAAAATTATCATGTATATTATAATCCTAAAAAAAAATATACAAAAATTAGAATTAAATTTCTAATCATTTTAAGTAATATTAAAAGTATAAGAATTTTTTGTAATTTTTATAAAACATTGGTTAGACAAATAATGTGATTTATAATGTATCCTATTATAAAAAAAACCTAGCACATAGGGGACGTGCCATAGTTGGGTCCAGTATAGTTATGATATCTGACAGTGATTAAAATCACTATCATGAAAAAAATTAACTTGGATGTCCGTTTTCACCATGAAACAAAATATAGTCCAAATTTTTTTTTTCCATAATGAAGTATATTACATATGCTTTAATTTAAGATATATATATAAATGTGTCAGACTTTCTTGAACACTTTCAAAAATTAGGTTGAAAAAGTTCTACTTTCTATATGCATTTTTTTGTTTTGAATCCCCCTGTATATAGGTAAATGTTCAGATTCAAAAAAAAAAAATTAGTCAAATAAAAGTTGTATATAAATACTACTTCTCATGAAAAAATTGTATTGATCTATACAATGGTAACAGACACACAAAAAAAAAAACATACTATCATAATAAAACTAATACCTTCTCATCTTCACATCGAAGCTAAAATTATACAGAATAATTGATCATAATTATGAACAGTGAAATAAGACATTTTTAAAAGTTATCAACATCGCAGAATTAAATTCTGCTAAAGCGTTTGTAACATCCTGTTATTAAAAAACTCTAGATTAATATCTATTATAATTTATTTTACTATTGCCATATAACTTATAAGTTAATAATAAAATAAATTACTCATCTCTTAAACAGTCAATTAACAGTATGATAATGAAATTGCGTGGGGTTTTAAGTCTCAATAAAGCTGTTTGGTAATTGACAAATAAAATTTACCTGTTATAGAAATTCCAGGGCCCAAAGAGAATAATGATGACTATGATGAAGATATAAATATTGTAAATGAGTATGAAATATTTCACGAAGTCCATCACAATGAAATTGACGGTGATCGAAATCGGACTAAACACAAACACCAAACTAACGGTGACTCATCGGTGTTGCCCAGTCCAAGTGTATCTATCCGTCCAATGCCACCATTTTATTGGACTTTGAAGTACCTCTGACATACAATTTTCGACTGGTAGGAAAATTCAATGAAGTCTTTATCCACACTTACCAGTTAAATGCAAAAATAATACCGGTTCCTTTATTAGTGGTGATAATGTTGTTGACTTTACAAAAAAGGTGAATTTTGTGTAACATACATTTGAATGCGCGAAATCTTCAAAATTTGATGATAATAATAGTTAAAAATAATTTTATAAAAAAAATAATCTTTACCATGTTAAATTTTGTTATAAGCATAAAACATTGATGTTCGTTTTGTAAATAAAGTAATTGATTTTGAATTATTACTTTTTTTTACCACCAACATGTTACATATATTTTTCATTATTGATGGTTTCTATTTATATTTGAGTATTTAAATTACACGTAATTGTGTCATCAAACTCATTTGTTAAGTCACATTATGAAATAATCCAAGAATATTGTCGAAGTAACAATTGTACAATTTTAAAAGGTCCTGTATATAATTATAGTGACTAAAAATTTGTTTATTCAACAACGATGTTTGTAAATGATATTGTTTAAAATTATATTGTTAATTAAGCATCTCAATAATAGTTATATTCTAATATATCTTACTCGCAAGTATTTAAATGAAAATTAAACGCAATATTTTTCTTAGTATCTGTTGAATAATTTATGGAAATTTAATAGTCGATTATTTTGTTGAATTTAATATTTGTAAATGTCCCTTATATATTACTTTGTATTCATTTAGTTGTCTAACTTTTCAATCATTTAAATAATAATTAGAAAAAAACAAAACGCATTTTTATTTTAAGCGTACAAGAACTATGTAATAACGTTTAAATTTAAAAAATATGTAAGAACTTTTATTCACTTCCTATATGCTTTAAATCAGAATAAAAATCATGTTATATTTTTATCAAATAAAAATAAAGATTCTGTGTTTTAGAATAACTATGTTTTGTATCAACCATATAAAATAGTTACTATACTAATATATATAGAGTGTTCAATATGTAAGAAAACGGGTATCTATTGTTCTCATTGTTTGTAACAATTGACCTGTTTCTTTACTTACTGAACACTCTGTGTATTGTAAACTAGAAACATAGTCAATATCATGTATCAATGCCATACTACATATTTATTTTTAAATATATGAATATTTATAAATTTTAAAAGTAAATGGAAGTATTATTGTGACTTATAATAAATTGTATAATAAAATTTTAATAATAATTTTTAAATAGTCTTTTAATTTTATCGCCTTCTCGAATCCAAATTCAATTGTACCTTACTATTCATAATCTTTGATGTTTTTATTCATAAATAAGACATCAATCTTACTTATGAATAGAGCCATATATTTATACATGTATAATATATGAACAGGTACATTTATTTATCAATAAAAAGATGAGCTCTATGCTGACATTTAAAAACTAGCAAATGTATATGGTAAATATTATGAAAATCATATTATAAGAATTTAGATGGCAGCTAATTTAATTACTAAGAACTCATATGAATCAACGATGTTATTGAATATTATTATTGGCACCATATTATTGAATAATGTTGGCAAAACGTTCAACACTTCACTTGACGTTAAATAGGTCTATGTTGGTGACCACTTAAAAGTCACTGATAGACCTTAAACATGATCTCATACGTAATTCTTTCCGACACAACTGTAATTGTATTTAAATTTTTTTGTGTTGGTATGTTTTATGTATTATGATGTAACCATGTAATGAGTTGCACTTGTCGCATAAAAAGCTATCGATATGGTACAGTTACGCGACTTAACGGCTCTTAGGAATTGTAACCTAGTTATGCACAAATGATGTGTGATAACATTGCAACTTCCTCCACTGGTGGGTACTCTATGAGGATACCTACACATGACGATGTGATTACATACATTTGACCATACGATACTAGATAATGATGATTGTTACAAAACTCTGGTAATATGTTAAATGTAAATTGTAAAACTCTCGTTACTTCTTACTATATGAATTCCTGGTACGAAATTTTAATTATGGAAAATCTATTAACGAGGAACGGGAGCACAATTGGGAATTGTATTAAAACATAATTTACACAAAGACGTGTCTAAAGGAGGAAGTAATTGTCGTACACATCAAGCGATAATGATAAGTGTTTTAAGATACAATTTAGAAGGGGTAATAACAATTTTTCTTCAATAGGACGGCCAATAAAAAAACTCTAAGCGCACCACTTCTGGTAATACATATTTTAAATGCTAGACATTTATTGAACCGAATTTTCAAGAGCCGCAGCAATGCTAATTTTGTTTGAAGGGATATTAACACTGCATTAGGTCCTAATTTTCTTAGAGTCGCCTATTTTAATTACTTATTAGGTTTGAAAAATTCGCTCACATAATGGTCTTGCTATTATAATAGCATGAAGTATACTTCATGTCAGTCTAGTTCCTTTTCTTCATGCTGAAAATGCTGGGGGAGCTAAAAATAAGTTATGTTCATTTTCCGGTTTGTCATATAATCAAAGTTTTGATTATCAAAATTATTTGTTTATTGTGAATTACTGATGAAAAAATGAGAAAAAGGTATTTCACAAAAATGTTGTAAATCAGAACTGGAGATATTTATTTTTGACTGGGGTTATCGATTTAGAGCTAGCAAATCTTAATTAAATACATTATAAATTATTGCATTTTTTTAATGCAATGCTACCATTTAAAAAAAAAATGTATTTTTAATAAATTTACTAATACGCATTATTAACACAAAATTATAATACATAGTTTGAATATTGTAGGTTTCTGCAAACCAATAAAATTAGTATTGCTATACACAGTATCATTTAATTGAGTCAACCACGCCGTTGCTAAGTCTTAATATACGCTTTATATGGTACTTAATCACTCTCCCCATTTCTTCCCTTGCAAACAAATGTTCATATGCGCAGCTAGATAAATTGGAGTTATCGTTGGCGTTATTTAACACCAGATGATTCTATAGACTTGTATGATATTCTTGGATATGTTCACAATATTATCAATTTGATAGATTAGTTTTCCTATTAATTAAATACCATTAAAATAGGTTCTTAACATTTTTCAAACCGAGACCATTTTTAATAAACTAAAATGATCACAAAAACTACACAATATTTTGTAATATTTATCACTACTACTAGAATGAGCTAACTATAAAGAAATTAATTTAATTATATAAATTATACGTGGCTTCGATTAAGAACACGCCATTCATTGTTCAATAGTCATATTGCGTCGTAGGAAATCAAAATCATATTTTGCAGGCACAGGTGTACTTTTTAAAAAACAAGTGTTCCAAAGTCAATTTGAAATAAATAGGGATAAATTTGTGATCTTAACACATATATAGTTCCTGAATACAATAGCGTTTTAATTTAATGAGACGAATTACATATAAGCTGCAAAGGCGTTTTGTGTTTTCGGCGGAATTGTATTTTTTATATTTAAATAAACTTTTCAATTTAGTTTACTTTGCAGAAGATTTATGCATTTTTTATTCGTAATGACAGATATGTGCTGAATTTCGTTTAACAGTTCCTATGCTCGTGAATCATGTTCGGCATGAAATGAAAAATAACAATGCATATCAGTTGGCCCATGCCGTTTAACGCTCTTCCACTTAAATTCAATCAGCTTAATGTCGCAAAGGATTTACTAAAAACTCAAAGGAATTTTTAATAAAACAAAACTGGCATTTATTGTACAGATAATAGACTGTAAAAAACAAACGAAAAGCAATAGAATCCGCCAACGAATTATATACAATTTTATGGGTTTCAATTGGCTTATACTATTATAGATTAGTAATAGGGTGTCTTATGGGCGCCAGTACAGTATTTGTGTTTAGAGAGTACAAAAATGTTTTTATTTTCCATCAAAGCATTCGATTCGATAATTCGAGTATAATCTTGGCGAAAGCAAACTTTACTTATATTTTACACTGTATGTACGTGATTCCCATACAAACGGTTACTATTTGACAAACACTTTGGATACACTTCTATAATATTACTTTAACAATATTCTATTTTTCCAAAAAGCTAGTATGATTTTTCGAAACACGAAAAACCACTGCAAACGCATAATGTTAGGTATGAAAATGAAAGTTTTAACAAGCATTTCAAACTCTATTATATTATATTTTGCCTAATATAGTTTAGTTTCAAAATGAAAGCATCGCAATTTTATTTTTATCATCTTATAAACAATTTCTTTAAAAAAAGAAATAATTCAAGCATTACTAATTTTTAACTGTAACGTTAAGTTATAATTATGAAACGAGTATTCGTTTTCAATTGAAAATATTATTTTGAATATAAGCGTAATTTAAAGATAATTCTATATATATTTTTTTTTTTTCTGAACGACAAGATGATAATATAGACGCTTGATATTATATTTGTGGAATACTTTTACCTTGTTTTTATATATAAAAAAAAAAATGAACACTTTTTGTTATAGTAATAAGTACATATTTAATTCTGAATCTGTATCGTATTTGGTAGTAAACTATTTGCTAGGAATATAATTTCACTAAAATTTTTGCACAACGNTACATATTGAATTCTGAATCTGTATCGTATTTGGTAGTAAACTATTTGCTAGGAGTATAATTTCATTAAAATTTTTGCACAACGTCGCTCGGAGATTAGTAAGTCAATTTTTATAAATCCACCACATTTTTTATGTGCATAAAATTGATTTTTTTTCGAGATATGTCTTATTTGACCCCATCGACTATAGTTGACTTAAAGAACCCAACCTTAAGACATAAAAAAAAAATCAACTCGTTAAAAGTTCAATTTAATAATTCAATTTAAAATACGAGTTAGACTAAGAAAATCTCTTAAAAATATTACAATATTGAAGTAAAATATTCATTATATTGAAACCATATTGAATGGAGTTAAAATGAATTATAAATATTAAATGTTTGAATTGGACGTTAGTACAATAATAAGTTACTGTCATACTGAATACGTTGTCTTTGATGGCAATAAAAATAATCCAACAAAAAAATTTAATTTTTAAGACAATTATTTGTAATAAAAGTTGAATCTAGATTTTATAATCTGTTTTACCTAGTATTTTGGTTTAATTAATTTTTTGCTATATTTTCGGTAAAAATGTTTATTCCATGCAATTGTTTTTTTAATTAAAGAATGTACACATTTGTATTGCGAAATCGATCGCTCTTAAAATTATAATCTGATAACAAATAGCCATCAGGAGATGTTAGTGGTTACAGGACAGTGAAATCGAATGTCGCTGAAGTCTAAATGATAGGAGATTATTTTAGATAGGGATAAAGAAAACGTAAAACGAAGTTTTAGTCGTTTGTCTGCTGATGCCGAGATGGAATGGAATGAGACGGATGCATAATAAATTCCCTATAGCTCAACAGCATAATTGAAACGCATTTGGTTTGTATGATTCCTCTGGCGGATGTATTCGACAATTCAATTAGTCTGTCGACTGTCGAGTATCCAATTAAAATCGTCAATCACTTACCTTATACAACGTGTCGAGCTATTAGGATAATTCGTGTCTAAAAGAACTCACGTCTGCCTTCAAAAATATCCATCAGTCAATTATAAGCCAACAGCTAGCTTTTATTATAATAATAAATAAGGAGTGTTATAATTTACTGATTAATAATTCAAATGACCAAAATTATCAGAGTCGAATGTAAAAGTGGTTGATATTTAAGTAATTTAGTAATTATTTAGAATTCATTAAGTTAGTCACACAAGATAATTTTATAAAAGAAATATTCTTTATTCTAAAAGATATGTTTTCTAGCGTTACTGTCTAAAATTTAAATACATTCTATAATCCAGTTTGAATGTTTAAAAATACTGAAATTAATATCTTTCTAAAACAGAAAATTTTTTTTTTTTAATAGGATTTTATTTATTTTTTGTTAAATTTTGAAAAAGTAGATATTTTAATAGTACTCTAATAGTAAAAATTCTAATAAATATGATGTTACAGGAATCCTGTTTTTTAACAACTCAATAATATAATCACAAAAAATATGACATTTTTCATTTGTGCTTTAGTAATGGTCTAGTCGTTTAAAATCACTAATTTGCATTATGATAATGTTCAAAGGTGGCCCTTTCAGAATTCAACAGTCGTTTGTTCAAATATACTT